CCGCCGCGGCGCCGCCGGCGCCGCGCGCGCCGCTTAGCGGCGCGACGCTGGCGCCGGACGCGGCGGCGGCCGTGCGGCGCGCGCTGCGGGAGCTCTTCCGCGTGCACCCTGTTGTCAATCTGGATGACATCCGCGGCCACCTGGCAGATTATGGCGAACCCACTAGCACCGCCCGGCAGGGGGCCACCCTGGGCGACGACGCCCTGCATGCAGCCGTGGTGTCGGGCGGCGAGTTTGCCGCGCTGCGGCGCGCGTACGCGGCGCGGCCGGCGCCGAAGGATCAGGCGGGGGAGCTGAGGGGGGTGATCTTGGATCTGCTGGCTACGCGCAGCCAGGTGCGGCGGTTCATTCTCACGCATCTTGTTGCCAAAAGATACCATCTGAAAGCCCGCAGATGGGCTGGGGATTGGCTGGGAGACGGAGACGCTGTGGGGGAAGCTGCAGGCTTGAGGGGTGAAGGGCTGAACACAGTGCCTGCGTGCGAGCCGTTTGAGCTTGCGGCGTGCCTGCACGGGTCGGGCGCTGGCTGCCCCCTGTTCGTGTCGCCGCTTTGTGGTTGCTTCGCTCCTGGTTGCCCCTCCCCGACACAGCTGCAGCAGCTGCCAAGCAGCGGCCGCCTCACAACCGGGCTGCTGCAGCACTGCGACGCCATGATTACTTAGTCAACACCCCCCCCCACACACACAAACACACACACCACACGCCCCCACCCCCCCCCCTTCCAGGTGCGCAAGAGCGACGTGGTGCAGGCCGCCAGGCAGTCAGGGGCGTCTTTCGTTGAGGGGCAGTACAACAAGATCATGCGGGAGCTCTGCCGCAACAACGCCGGCACGTGGACCACCAAGACTGGCATAGGCGACTGAGTGGCTGGCCCCGCCCGCCGCACCGCGCCGGTGGACTAATTCTGCATGTGTGCACACCTGAGGCCGTCGACTTCGCAGTGGCGCCGGCGTCGTGCAGGCTGATCGGAAGGCGAGCCGCGGATGCAGACCGTGGTGTAACATCGTCTTCACGAGGCTGGCTGCGTAAGAGCGGTCGAGGGAATGCCCCCACCGTTTCCAGCGGCCTGCGCTGCGCGGGGCTGAGGCATCAAGGGGAGCATGCTGCTGCATACACAAGGCAGGCGCTGTAACTGAAAGACAGCTGCAAGCGTCAAGTCACAGGCGGGACCGCTACGCTCTCGCTGTTCCCACAAGTGTGGTTGCATCAGCAGCAGCCGCAGCAGCAGCAGCAGCAGCATGTCGCCCTTGATTCCAATCTGCATTTCCTGGGACGCTCAACACGTGCAGTGTGTGTCCATCTGCTCGAAATTGAAGAGGTACTGTATGACGACAGGATTACAAAGAACCATGTTCTTGCAACTTAAGTGAGCAATTCATGAATTCAAGCTACGGCAGCATGGACACAGGTTGTGCTGCTGCACCAAGGCACACCACACGCCAGCCACCTGAGCAGCCTGCTGACTAGTTCAGCCGTTTGTAACGGGCAGGTCAACCCCTCAAAGGTTTAAGTCTCGGTCACTGGGCCCCCTGAAGGGATTATGTCTGTGACCACCTCGCTACTAGTTCCCACTGCCACCTGCGGGGCAGCTGCCCCACCTCTGTTGGTGCCAAAACCCAGCAGGCTCCCACGTATATTTCCCCAGGGCGACGCCGCGAAATTCTAGGGCTTTGAATTGGCCCTCCAGGCTCCAGCTGTTGCGACGTTGAAGCAGGGGTGTCCCCTGGAGCTGGCACGCTCCAGCAGGCTTGTTTCTAACAGCCCGCCGGTTGCAATTAACCACCAGCAACAGCCTTCACCTGAACAGCAGTCGGCGCACACTACAATAACCCTGCAAAAAATTTGAAGTACATGCTGCATGCCAACATATTGATCACTGCACCGAGGTGATGGTTGCGCTCACGCGGACGCAGCCGTCCTCCCCCACCAGGCCGGCGGCCCTCCATGGCCCCTCGCTCCACGCCTGCTGCACACAGGCCTTGAACATGCGCCTGGACATGCACCCTCCCTTGCCATTGATGCGAGCAAACGGGTAATCCACGAAACGGGCTCGATGTGGCGTGTGCCCACCCTTGTCCAGCGTGACACTTGCACAGGCCACTGCCCCCTCCGCAACGACGCCATCCCCCACAACATACAGCTCAAGATTGACCCCCTCCTCAATAATTGCCGCCTGTGCATACAGGCGCCACTGGATCCCGCCCCAATAATCTGGCGCCGAGGCGGCTCGGTTGGCGCGTCTGTCGCCGGCCTGCGCAGCCTCGTGGATGCGCCGCAGCTCAACAAGGGACAACCCCCACTCAATCACCAATCTGTCGTTGCTCGAAACTGGTCGTGGGGGCAGGCTCCAGGCGTTGACCAGCGTAAGGATAGGGTTGTGCTGCAGCATGGCCGCGCGCAGGGGTGGAGGCGCATGCTTGTACGCCGCTGCCATCTGCCACGGCACGCGGCTGGCCAGCCACGCGCTCTGCCCCACCACGGTCAGCAGGTACAGGCTCGTTACGTGCGGCAGGCGAACCAGCCTCGCCAGCTGCAGCTGCTGCTCAGCTTCCCCGCCGCCCCGCCGCCGCAGCCACATGTCGCACACGAGGAAGACCGTGTTTTCGCTGAAGACCCGGGTGGCGCTGCTCTCAAGCAGACACCGCAGCGCCTTGAAGGGCAGCCCCAGCAGCCGCTCTCGCCGGGCGGCATCCAGCATTGCCACCTCCAGGTTGCCTAATTCTTGCTGCAGAGTGGCCGCGGCCGCGGCAAATGCAGTCATATAAGCCGCGTTCTCCTCGCAGCCCGGTGGCAGCGCCCAGATGCTCTGGGCGACGTCCCAGTCCAGCAGCGCAGCCGCCTGGAGGAGGTCGCCGGTGG